TTGCTTTTATCATTTTTTTTTTATTTTTACGACTATCATACGAATAACTAAGTTCGCTTACTCCCGGTTCACCCTCCTCCCTTGTCTACCGAAAAGGATTAGAGGTTAATCCCTTTGTTTCCTGTTTAGGATTGGGTTTCTGGTTCCTACTAAAGCCTATCCATTCGTTTTAACTCCCAGTAACACCTTGCGTCTTAGTGGCATTGAGTTATATTCGATATATGTGCGTTGGTTAAGTGCATTGAAAAAGGAGGCGATTATGTTGAAAAACGATTTGTGCTGTAATATAAACGCGTTTTTCATCATTAGGTTTCCTCTACTTCTTCCTCTATTCGCCGGGTCCCTTCAGGATGTAAGATAGTCATGGCTCTCCACAATTTCCTGTCCGTTGTCGGGTCTTAATAAATTTTGTCTTTTTGTTATCTCTCCTAAACCTTGTTCCGCCATTCATTTACACAAACTTGACTAACTTAAAAGAAAATCGTCTTTCATACAGAATCACACACACACACACGCACACTCACGCACACACACACATATATATATGTGTGTGTGTCTCTGTGTGTGTGTGTGTATGTATCAGTAGCCAACACTGATGATTTACTTTGTCGATAGATCTGAGGAAAGCTTTTAATAAGTGTTAACATTTTTTTGCTGTTTTGCGAAATATAATTCAACCGATCTAAATTCACTTACGACATTTCCTTGACGAAGGAATAATCCTTAGTCTTGAGTTTCCTCGAATGTAAATATCGTTCGCATGTGCATGACTTGGTGGAAATTCGATACCGCCCTTAATCTACAAAATCTCGTGTCTATTACCCGATTTTTAGGATAAAATTAAAAACGAAACCTTTCTAGAGTCTGCTAAGTTTCAGGAGAGACGTGATTTGACTGATTTGCACAAGATTCTGATGCTTGATAATCGAAAAAAATACGTAGCTTAGTCTGACACAAGGCCAGAGAGCGTTAAACTAGTAATGCATAGTGACACTAGCTGATATCAGCATTAATGCAGGTCAAGAATTTCGGAATAAAATTATTTTATATTCATATAAATTTGTAGCATCAGCAATGTAAACAATTTTTGAAATAATAATGATTTACTAGTACAAGTCTTACTAATTAACCCATAGCTGGGAGGAAAGAGGTCGATGCATACTTTTCCCAAGGGTATTTTCGAGTAAGTGAATCCAACGAATCTGATTTGAATGGGAACGCGGCTCTCAGTTTTCAAATCCCGAGCCGTTATCAATTACACCACAACGCACATCCAAGCATACAATACCTGATATTCGCAAATGGTCACCCATGTAGATAGTGACTAGGCTCGACTTTTCTTAACTTCGGTAATCGCACCAGAACACGTACGTGTATGTGTATACGTATATGTATATATATATATATGTGTATGTGTGTGTGTGTGTATATATATAGAGAGAGACTGAGTAAAGAAATATTCGTACACAAAATCTTTTATTTATTGTATTTACAGTTAATGAATAAATATAAATTTTATTTTAATAACTGTACATAAATGCATAATGATATAAATATGAATAACTAACAGGAAAAATTGATTTAATAGAAATAAATCCCATTTATCTAATTTAAAGGTTGAAAAAAGTATTCGTACAATACAAAACGAATACACAATCTGCATTTCATACTTTGTAGAATAGCCATGATTTGCAAATTTTAGTTGGTATTTTGATCCATACTTTTTCGTATATGGTCTCCAGATCATGGATGTTTGTTAGAGCTCTCGACTGAATTTTCAAATAAAGCTACAGATTCTCGATTGAGTTTAAATAGGGACTAACTTGGCCATTTCAGATTACTTTATTTTCAGCGTGCCATTTCTTCGTAGATTTTACAGTGTCCTTATGATCATTATCTTCTTGGAAGATCCAATCAGGAGGAAGTTCAAGATTTTCAACTAAAATCATTAAATTTTCTTCCAAAATATTTTAATATACTGCGGCATTCCTTTTACTATCTATTACTCATATGTACCTAGTACCTTTTGTAGAAAAAAAAATCCCCAACCATGATGCTGCCGCCATCAAATTTCTCTGTTGGAACTGTGTTCTTTTGTTTGAAGACATCGCCATCTTTCCTCCATACATGATTTCTGGACTTACGCTTAAACAAATCAATTTTGGTTTCGTTTTTACTCTTTCCCAAGAAGAGTTTTCCTTATTCTTATGTTCACGAACGAATTTCAATCTGGCATCATTGTGTCTTTTCAATAGAAGTCGAGTTTTCCGAGGGGAGCGTGACTTTAGACTGTTCCTATGAATTTCATTGCTTATTGTCCGTTTAGTGAAATATATCCCTGATGAAAAGCAACTCTTGACGAGTAACCATTAGATTTTATTTAATTTGACGCATTAATTTCCACGAAGATCTTGTAGAAATATTTCGTGGAGCAGCTGTTCATCTTTGGTTTTCAACAGTTTTGAATTTTTTTTATTATCTTGCAATTAATGACCTAATG